GGGTATGTGTGAAATATTACGAGTACCATTTCATAATTTTTGCAGCAATTTGTATTAACTATTGCACGTCCCATAAACCATTTAAATTTATTTGTATTAAAAATCATGAATGCTACTTGAGGATGTGTGCCATCAGATGGGTTTTTCGGCCTAAACACAAAGTTACAGAAAAATGATGCATGATTTGTATTGACTTTATTTGAGCAGAGACATAAGCTATTGCCAGGATTATAACAAAAACTAGACCAACTTAGGAGGAACTAGGTGGCATTTTATTAAGAAGAAAATAGGCACCCAAATTTGCCTTGACGAGGACTAGAACCTAGGTGGGCTGGGCTGGGCATACATCCGCATGCTCTACCAACTGAGATAGCTCAGCTTCCTTAACAGTGGGCATACAACCAGGATGGTCTGGGCATACAGCCAGGATTATGTCATATATGTTGATTGGAATTATATATTATGATTACAACTGTTCTGTTATTTTTGTTGCTTTTGCCGTGTATAGGCTAACTATTTTGGCACAGATGTTATGTCTTCAGTTGTGTTTCAGGACTAAAATTTCTTTAGTATTAGTTCATTATTTAGTTAGTGCCCTTTTTTCTGCTTCACTTGCTGTGTGTTGGACTTCTCTGTAAGGACGGTATCATATTAGCTAGGCAGTAGTATGATAGATGGAGGATGTCTGAGAGTTAGTTTGACCTCTGCGCTGTAATGTTATCTTTAGAAGGTAAGGAAACCAAGAGGGCTGAATTTCAATTATATACCATGGTGTCATTGAAATTCACCTTTCTTGTGCTCTATATATGTAATAGAGTGATTTTTGTTTGTTTCTGAACGCAGTTCTGCTGCGTACTTGAAAAAAAGAAGCTTGTTTCTGATCCTTTTTGAGTCATGGCATGTGGTATGAGATGACCTGTCAGGATGAATTGTCCAAAAATCATTCCTGCCGTTCCACTAATTAGTAGTAGGTAGTTTATTCTATAATTTCATTGAAGCTTGAAAACTGATTTTGGCTGGGCATGTAGTAAGTAGCATGCAAGAATATGGTTTAGTTGGAATATTGAAATGCTTCATGATGATTAGCTCTAAACCTGCCACAAATTACTTGACATTCTTCTCTACAGGCTTTTACGAAGGAAGCTACTGCTATAGTTCCACTTGTTATATTTGATGATGCAATTGGTGATCCTTTATCTACTCTTGATCAGTTTTGATAATTCGTTTTTGGATCTGGAACACACTAGAGGTATGCCTAAAATGCATTAGCTTGTAGTCAAAACTATGCTGATGAAAGGCATAGTAGAGCATAGATAGTGTTTAGACTTTAAATCATGTGCTTTGCTTTTTGCTGCTTTTATGGCCTTGAAGAGTTTGAATTAAAAAAAATCAGCTTTGGTCACACCTTGCCTCAGGTAGTACATTTCATTAACTTGCTATATCAACTGCAGGCGCCAAAAGGAAGTTGAACTGAGACTACTAGAGGAGGAGACGGCAAAAAGAGTTGAGCAATCTATTAGGAAGAAGGTTGAGGAGAGTCTGAATTGTGATGAAATTAAGCATGAAATACAACGTCGAATTGAGGAAGGGCGAAAAAGGATACATGAGGAGGTAGCAATCCAGATTGAGAAAGAAAAGGAGGCAGCTTTAAATGAAGCCAAACTGAAAGTGGTAAGCTTCTGTTTTTCTCTCTGTTATTTGTCATCTGCAAATCTGGGGAAAAAAATTAAGTCGTTTTGACACTTTGCTTTGATCCATAAATGGAACCTGGAAAATTCTTATTATGATCGTCATACTGAATAGGGTTCTTGGAACGTGATTCAAAGAACCAGTCAAGATAATTTGTTCACTGGAGTTTTGTGCCTGCAGGAAAGAGAAAAAAAGGAGCGGGAGGAGCTAGAGAAAAAGCTTGAAGAAGAACGAAAGAAAGCTGAAGAGGCGCTGATGATAAAAGCGATGGAACAGCAGCAGAAAGAGCTAGAGCGGTATCAGGAGTTGGAGAGGCTTCAGAAAGAAAGAGAGGAGGCCATGAAGCGGAAAAAAATGGAGGAAGAGCAGCAGAGGCAAAACCAGATGAAGCTGCTGGGCAAGAACAAGTCACGGCCTAAGCTGTCATTTGCTTTTGGGATGAAGTAGGGTTCGATTCACTGAACGAAATTAGTGTTTTAGTTTTCTGTAATCGTGTATCTCTGTATGAAACCGCCCATGTCTTCCATCGGCAGTCAAAGTGCGATGTGTTAAATGCTCCTGATCAGCTTTGTAATTGTCCGTCTCTTGGTGAATGTGGTTTCATCTGCTCCTTGCTGTTCCGTTGACGCTACCTGGGGATACCAAGGAATCCGGTTGGTCCATAGGGACGTAGTCGATTGCCAGTACTTATCCCCTTGAAATTCAAAAGATTTCATGATGCGCATGCCTCGTGGGTATCTTGCATTTCACCAGGATACAGAGATCTTAAACCCTCACATTTTTCTCTTTTTTCTTTGGTACATTAGTTTCACCGAAAATTTTCTAAGCAAACTTTCGAAGTGCACGTTCTGTAATCACAGAGATATTGTTCGATAAAAAGAAAGATAACGGTTGTACGAAATAATTTTAAACATTAACCCTATTTATTTATGCTTGTGTACATATCGATATACTAAGAGCATCTCTGGTAGTTCTAAAAAAATCAGGCCCTGTTTAGATGCAAAGTATTTTTAAAGTACCAAAGAAATACTATGATTTTATAAACTACATTGATTTTAAAAAGCTATAGAAGGTTTGGATGCAACAAATCCTATAGTCTTTAAAACCATAGTTTTGTCAAAACTGTAGTTTTTTAAGTTTTAGAAACTCCATTCATGACCTCTTTTTTTCTAAACCACGGTTTTGTATCTTTTTACTTATAAAACCACATAAAACCGCATCATCCAAACAGGGCCTGAGTTGGTAAATCAATGAGTTTTTCAAGTGGCTAAAATAAGTTAGGAGTATATTTGTTCGGAAGAGTTTCAAAAATCTCACTTCTAAAATAGAAGGCTATTTTGCACAAGAATTCCAGACTATTTTAAAATCACGTCTACCACATTTATACTTTCTTTCTCTTGTACATTTGCATAAAAAACTATATCCTTCCACTTACTTCTCTCCATGCCCTTCCACCTCTAGATCAGACGACCGGTAGGCGCACACGGTTGGGTCGATTTTCCCAAATATTGAAAGATTGGAGTTGAGATAGGAAATCGTTGAAGATCATTTTTTTCAATCTTGCCAAAAAAATCAAGATTGTGAGTGAGTTTTGGAAACTCTTGGAGATGCTCGACCTCAATTGGTAGAGGTCCAGCTTCTTCATACATCATAAAAGCAATTGTTTTTATCTTGAAATAAACTAAGACTTTTTTGGCACAGCTCCACTTCGCCAGTGAAGTTGTTTTGGGGGGCTTCGGCTCCATGAATGGCTCTTTCGATGGAGTAGGAGCCGTTTTGGTACACCGTTTGGCAAAACAGCTTCTTACAGTGAAGAAAAGCGAATGAAAGACTAGAATGACCTTCCTTTGTTTTCCAATCCTTATCTTCTTCCCCAGTCTGTAATGAACACGAGGAAGCTGTCTGCGACCACTCCGACGATCTGCCCCCTCCGGACTCCGGTGGCCGCGTGCCCCATCAGCTGAGCGCCCTGGCAGACCAAGCGCTCCCCGCCCCATGCCCGACGCCCAGTGGCCTACACGCACTCGTCCACGCGTGCTCGCGCCCCCGGTAGCCGTCTGCGCAACCCCAGCAGCCAGGCCCTCGCGCCGGCGGCCCGCACGCCCTCGCGCTCAACGGCTGCACCCCGGTGGCTTCGCGTGGTGGCCACGTGCCCTCTCCGGCTGGCGACCAGCCTGCGCGCCCAACCCCTGGTGGTCTCCAACTGGCGGCCCACGCCCTCCCTAGGCAGCCGCGCGCATCCCCAATGGCCATGCCCCTCCCTGGCGGCTGCGCACGCCCGTGTGCCTCGTTAGGGGAGAACAAGTCTTTCTTCTTTTCTGGTGTCCACGTGGACGAGGTGAAGCCACTATTTTTTGGCTCCATCCCTTCCCAAACCTGTGTGAGGGCATAATTTAAGGGGGTGAAGCTATTTCATTTTACCCTGTTTGATAGAAAATGGCTCTAAACGGCTCCTGAAGCCGGTGGAGAAGCCCTACCAAACGGGACCGAAGAGCCAATAAAGCTATATTTTTTTTACTTTACTGCTCTAGTTTATCTGCGCATGTTAGTGATAAGCCAAAACCGTTTGTACTCTAGATTTCATTTTATTGCATAGTAACACAAATTTGAATTTAAAGATATGGGTCATACTACATTTTTCAAATACTCCTACATACTCCCTGCATTTCAAATTATAACATGTTTTGGCGTTTTTTATATGCATTGCTTTAACTACTCCATCTGTCCCAAAATAGAAGTCATTCTTGCTTCCCGAGAAATCAACTCTTTTAAACTTTGACCTATTATATATAAAAATATTAATATTTATAATACATAATTAGTACGGTTAGATAGATTGTTGAATATTCTTTCATAATAAATTTATTTTGAGATACAAATGTTACACGTATTTCATACAAACCTAGTCAAAGTTAAAAAAGTTTGACCGGCACACATCTCATAACGTCATTTTTTTTGGGACGGAGGGAGTATGTATCTAAACATAGCGTATATTTAAGGTCATAGTGAAGTATATGTATTAAAAAATCAAAACGTCTTATATTATTCTCAAGTGAATTTTTCATGAATAATTCATTTCCCAAATTGTAGAGGGAAATGCAGGTGGGTCGCGTTCCAACTCAGATTACGGGCACTGGGGCCGGCAACCTCAGCAGTCAGCACGCGCAGCTATGATGAGAATTTTCGATCCATAAAGGGAAGAGAGAAGAAAGGTTTTCACAAGCAAAGCACCGAGCAGCTTTTCACGCTTCCCAGTGCCCACTCCACTCTCCCATCCTCACGCTCCGCCGGCGAGCAAACCGAGCCCAGCAATGCCGGCGGCAGATCCCCCCGTCACCGACGCGGCGCCTGACGAAGGCGCGCCTCCCCGACCATCTCCTCCGCCGCCGCCACCCCGGCCCCTCTCCCTCGCCTCGGCGCTCCCCTTCTGGTTCTACCTCGCCGCCGCCGTCTCCCTCCTCGCGCTCCTCCTCCCCCACATCCTGCCTCCCTCCTCTCCCGCGCCTCTCCCGCCTCTCCTCCGCGGACACCTCGCCGCAGGCCGCGTCCTCAAGCTCGATCCCGCCCCCGGCCTCTTCGCCGTGACCTCCCTCCCCGCCGACAGCGGCGGCGGCGGCGGCGGGGGCTCCCCCGCGCACCGCGTCCTCGTCCTCCCGGGCCTCGCCGCGGGGTCCTTGTCCTTCCGCCGCGTCCTCTCGTCGCTCTCCTCCCGCGGCGTCCACGCCACGGCGCTCGACCTCCCCGGCCAGGGCCTCTCCCCGCGCCCCCCCGCCGCGCCCGCGCCCGCGCCCTCCCGGACCAGCGCGCTCCGGGAGATCATGGACCGCGGCATCTTCCACGCCTTCGAGCACCTCGTGCAGACCGGCGAGGTCCCGTACCAGGAGGAGGCGCCGCCAGCCGCCGCCCCGAGGTCTCCGCACGCGCCCGACGAGGCGGCCGCGGCCGTCGCGCGCGCCGCGGAGGCGCTCGGCCTCGGCGTGGCACCCGTCCACCTCGTGCTCCACGACACCGCGCTCGCGGCCGGGGCCGCGTTCGCGTCGGCGCACCCGGGGGCCGTGCGGAGCGTGACGCTGGTCGACGCCGCCGCGTCCCTGCCGGCGTTCCCGGCCGCGGTCTTCGACGTGCCCGTGCTGGGGAGGCTGGTGCTGCGGGTGCCGGCGCTGTTCCGCGGCCTGCTGCGGCTGTGCTGCGCCCGGGGGGTTGGCGCCGAGGAGGCAGAGGCGTACCGGGCAGCGATGCGGGGGGAGGGGAAGGCTGAGGGGGTGGTTGAGGCATGGAAGGCGATGAACCACAGCTTTCGGCTTGGGGAGTGGAGGGGTTCTTCGGAGGAGGTGAGGAGGCTGCCGATGCTGGTGCTGTGGTCGGGTTCTTGGTCAGACATGTGGATCGATGAGGGGAAGAAAGTGGCGGCTGCATTGCCTGACGCCAAATTTGTCTACCATTCCGGAGGCCGATGGCCTCAGGTCAGTGTGGTGATTTAAATTTACTTGATAATTTCGTCTTATTCCTTATGGAGAGAGTGAGCTTAGTTGGAATTGAGCTTGAACAAAATGCTATACTGCAAATAAATTTCCTAAATTTTGGAGATGGTCAACATTGGGCACGCTACAACTTTTCCAGCTTGTTATGAATTTGTCAGTGAAATTTCTTTAAGTCGTTTCTTTTACATGTGATAATTAGCAAAAGATGCCAATCTAGGTGCCATTGTGATTTGTGAACCTCGTTACTAGATTCTGGGGTCAACTTAGCCAATTCATTCCCTTCACTGAATTGACTGTCCATGTTCTTATTGTATCTCCATTTTTCCTTCGCAAGTCTCTCCTTAGTCCTTGGGCACGACTGCATTTTCAAGCAGGCATTGCTAATTTAGTATTTGCATCCCCCAGTATAGTAACTAAGTACCAAGCTGAGATGACGATATTGTTATTTTTGTTGTTTTGCGCAGGTCGATGCCTTTGAGGAAATTTCAGGGCTGATAACCGAGTTTGTAACCTCATCTGAAGAAGCAGCAGGTGGTCAAATTGAATAGCCCGTTATGACACCCTATATGAGTTCACGGCCTTGGTGAAGGATCAAGATCCTAGTTTCAGAAATGCCTTATATACGTGCATGCATATGGCTCGATCAAACAAGATTGCTCCACCTTTGACAAGTTGTTGGCTCCTTGCTCCTGCTGCCAGCATGAAACACTTACCAAAGTGCAGTTATCAAGTTCATAAGGATACTCTACTCCTTTGAGGATCGCTGTGCAAATGCAACCTAGAGCAGTTTTAGATCTTTTAGTTGGTGCAGTGACAAGTGCAACTTGAGATTTTTGTTCCAGGAGAGTTTCTGCTTGCAGCGCCTGTACTGAGTTTTGCTTGAATTGTAAAACGGCATGTTACTGACTGATGCTAGCGTTTGTGTTTTTACCAAACATGTCCGTACATGCTAGTATAGTAGCATGTATTCAGTTTAGCATTGTTTTGAGTTAGCTGTGTTCTGAGTAATCACTTGTTTGGGTGTATTCATGCGACTAATGTTTCACATGAAATTTCTGTGTTCCAGTGACGACCTAGGTGAGCTACAATTTTGAATATGTTCCTGTTCAGCCCTTCAACTTTGGAGAGCTGATTTATCCCAGAACAGGCGCGGAGGCCAAGAGCTTATTTGCTAAACTGATTTCCTACCAAATGAACAAATTTATTATCACACTGAATTACATCATGACTTCTGTTGTGCTTGTGGCGATTGCCCTTCTTGATGTGTATTCCTAGGAAACAGTAGCTCATGTATTTGCTTCTCTGCAGCGAACTCGGAAGTAGCCTGCGTGCAGTTCAAAAGATTCAGGACATGATAATGCAATGCAAGTGCCTTCTTTCAGTCAATAGTATATATTTTTTGATGTTGTTATTCTCAGAATCCCCATAAATCCACCTATATAAGCATCAATGTCTCATCATCGAAGCTGGTGTAAATGGATCAGTATTTTGATTGAAAAGAGAGAAGAAGCATCACAGACCTTTGTAGGGAAAGCAAATCTCAGTGTCTGCACTTGAGTTCCTGAACACACTCTCAAGTCAAATCCAAGGCAGTCCACTCCGATCACCGCCGCTTCCTGCAAAAACATAACCGGGCAGTGTATCAGCACCAAACCTTTGAGAGATGGTGAATTTTCTCTTCCATGATGTCCAGTGTTGAAATCCTGGAACGGTTCTCGCTCGCAATCAATCTGAAGGAACTGTACCTCTACTTGAATGGCCTTGCACCTCCAGCAGAGAGATTTCAGAGCCTGTGTAATCTTGTCTCCACCAGCTCTCAGGCGCGATATTACGTTTGGTGCAGAATGTGCGATGATGTCCGGCTTAGCCTTTTGGTATTCTTCAATCTTTACCTTGGGCTACATGTTGACACTTTAAACTATTGTCAGCAAATACATAATACCAGCAGTACAGTTTGATAACAATCCACATTGTGAAGCTAGAATTGCAGAGAAGCCATTGAAAATTCAGACATGTCAAAATGAAACATGAAAGAAGCATGCCTCAGTTCCATATGCAGTGATCAACTCAATGCTGAGGACCTCGACCTTGAAAAAGGTGGCACCACTCTCCTTTTTATCTTCCTTTGGCGCATCACCTGTCATGAATTCAGAAACCTGTAAGAATCGTAGGTTCTCATGAAATGCAGACATCTGCTGAATACAAGAAGGTTGATTTTTTATCACAGCAGCTATACTTGATATATGCTTGGCAACCATGGTGCTCTCCACAGCAAAGGCAGGTCTCAGCTGGCCCTCAACAACAAGGCTTGCAGGTGGCCGGTCCAACCAGTCTATGTTATTCTTGGTTGCAGTCTGGGAATGGATTTACTTAAGAGTACAGTAGCTGACAAAACATGCTAATGTAAAAACCTTACATGTCCTAAACTTCAATCGTGTACCTCTACGATCATCCTTGCAAAGTACAATGGATGGCAGGAATTCACGGTCTCAAGGTTGGACCAGCTTGGTAGGTCGTCATCGTCCTCCTCCTCCTCCTCCTCCTCACCGTCGTCTTCGTCGTCCTCATCAACCGAAAACACACCCTCCTGCATGTTTTACATACATCTAGGTAAATCAACAACCTCTCTGGGGTGTAGACAACTGAAATCAGCGGCTTGAGGTTCATCCTAACCACGTCGTTGAAGTCGTCGTCAAAGTCGCTTTCCTCATCGTCGTCGGAGCCGTCATCGTCCTCATCGCCGTCGTCGTCTCCTTGCGCAAAATCTGTGGCGGAGGCCGATGCGAGATCCAGGTCGGCGAAGACCTGTGTGTTATCCAATCCGATGATAACGTGCTGCACACATGAATCAACAACACGAGCGAGGCCATCGGTGTCACCCACTGACAAATTCATAAGGTGGATGGAACAGGGGAGGAACTGGGAGGAACAGAGGCGTCACCGCGATCTTGTCCTCCCCCATTACGCTCTCCAGCAGCGCGTCCTCGTTGTCCACCTCGAAGTAGATATCTGAGAAGATTGCCACAAATCAGCTTCATCAGGAAGCTTTTAGCTGCATTGCATTTGCATCAACCAGGGAGATACCTCCGTTCTCGTCGGTGAGGTAGGGAAACTCCGGCAGGATGATCCGCTCGTGCACGCCGTCGCCGACGAGCGTGGAGATCATCACCGTCGCCTTGTTGTTCACCTGCAGTTCATGATTCTCTTAGCATTTCTTTGTGAAGTACGATGAGTGGCAACTGGCAAGCAGAGCCGGAGAGTGGGCTTTCAGGTTGGTCAAAGAGTGGTTGACCTCGACGATTGTTCGGGCGGACTCGGCGTCGGTCAGGTGGGCCGGCTCGCCGTCGTCCAGCTGCACCGCCTCGGCGATCTCCTCGAACGGGTGGTACCTCCCCCTCGCCGGCTGCTCGTCCATGTGGTCCGGCGCGGACGCGACAGCCCTGCATCGTTGGTCAGTGGCCACCAATCAGCCATCCAGCAGCTGGCGGCTCAGTCACTACTCCAAGACATATGTACGTACGTACCGGCAATGGCGGCCGCGGCTGGCGCCGGAGCCCCGGCGTGCTCGCTCATTGTTCCACCAGGCGTGGCAGCGACAGCGAGAGCGGCAGGGAAGGCGACCGTGACACCGGAGGGAGAGGAGGACCGAGCTGCTGCCGGTGGCTCTTGTTGCGACAACGAAGCTGTGAAGCGAAGCGGCAGTGGGAGCGCGGCGGGAGGAGGGGAAGGTGGAGCACGAGGAGTCCGGCGCTGCAGCGGTGGCAGCCGCCGGCAGCATGGTATACCATGGAAGGGAGCCTCGGCGGAGATAGTTTTAGATAGTTTGTGTGGCGCCGGCGCCTCTCGCTCCCTATCCAAACCAGAGCTGACGTGAATTATGTGGGGGATGACATCTACATCACGTCTCGAGATAAGTTCCTTTACCTCTCTTGTCTTTCCATCATCAGAGATCCTAAAAGCATTTACGCGCCAAGGACATCCTTGGACTTATTTGTTTTGAAATTAGCAAACTCAAAACCTCTGTTCATATCATAATGCTTAACTCCTTTCCTTAATGCTACAATGTTAGGAAATAACTCTCCCTTCCTAATTTTGGGTGTTTTCTGTATCATGAATGACATTGATCTTCCAAGGATCTACATCTCTAGCCTATGCTTCAAGGGGAACACCTTCGCCCGCGACAACATCATCAACACTTTTTTTGACAAGTCATCGTCATCAACACTTTCATCAACATAAGAAGAAAGTTGTGCATTATCAGGCAATTATGTATTATTAGGACACTGAGTCGTACTAGTACGTGTGTCCCCTCATCATCAACACCAACATACTATTCATCATTGTTGAGCATATCAGCATCCTTATCAGGCTCAACTTTAGGCTCTAAAGCATTTCACCTCGTTGCACAAGCTTGTCATCATCAAATCAAAGGAAAACTAACCGAAAGCATCTAGGCCCCAAGTTGGGTTTCAGTGATTAATGACAATACGTGATTACTGTGACTAACGTGTGTTTTGAAGCGGCAATTAAGTTAGGTCACGGTAATGGAAATTGATTGGGCAATCATGGTGGTCCTGCCCCTACGATGAAAATAGTTTCGGTTTTTAAAGGATGGACGACAAAATTAAGGATGGACTAGTTCTAAGTGTCGTTTGGTGTTGAGAAGACACTTAGAGTAGTTTAGGACTTTATTTTTTCTTTGACCGTACTATTAAGGGGGGTATGGACGGGTAGCTTGACCTAGGTGAGTAGTGAGTTAGGTGTGGTGCACACTTGTTAAATCTAGCACTAGGTAACTCATGAAAAGCCCTTAGATCATTGGAGCAAACTTCATTCACATATGATTGCGAGATGGAAGTGAATGGAGGGTCAAATACTGGCCGGATGCTGGTTCCGGTGTGACCGGACGCTGGCACAGAGTCCGATCAGTTCATTTGATCAAGGTGAAGTCGTCTAGAAGTAACCGGACGCTGAGAGGTGAGTGACCGGACGCTGGGTGCCAGAGTCCGGTCAACTCCAGTGAGGTCCCAGAGAGGAGAATCTGATCGACGCCGCGTCCGGCCGATCTTGACCGGAAGGCTGGTCGAGTTCCGACTCTAACGAACGACGACAAAGAAAGTAAGGTTCCAGACGCTGGGTCCAGAGTCCGGTCAACATCAGTAAGGTTCCAGAGGGCAGTTTTTGTGACCGGACGTGTCCGGTCAGTGTTGACCGGACGCTGGCCAGTGTCCGGTCACAACTTAAACTGCGTAGTGGCGGGAGAACTGACCGGAGCGTCCGGTCAATATAACCAGAGCGTCCGGTCACCCCGCAGAGGCACATAACGGTTCGTTTTGAACACGGGTGTATAAATACTTCCTCCATTCGTGTGAGGGGGTACTTTTGCTCATTCCAACAGCTGAGAAACACTCTTGAGAGTGCCAAGAAGAGCAAGGTCCTAGTGAGGCGATTGAGATTTGAGAATCCAAAAGAGAGCCCTCATTAGTAAAAGCAAGAGTAGCAAAGTGTGCATCCACCCTTCTCATTAGGCTTGTCGTGGTCAAGTGAGAGTTCGTGCTTGTTACTATTGGTGATCGCCATCACCTAGACGGCTTGGTGATGATTGGGAGCTTGGTGATCATCCGACGGAGCCTGTGGATGACCCAACTCAAGTTGTGAGCGGTTGTGGGTGATTCACCGCGATGGAGTGTCAAAGAATCAACCTGTAGAGACCACTTGATCCTTGCGCGGATCAAGGGGGAGCTACACCCTTGCGCGGGTGCTCCAACGAGGACTAGTGGGGAGTGACGACTCTCCGATACCTCGGCAAAACATCGCCGCGTTCCTCCTTCTCTCTTTACTTTGAGAATTTATTTTGAGCAATTCAATTCTTATCTTTACATTCATAGAATTGCCATGCTAGAGTAGGATTGGAACTTAGGTTGCAAGACTTTTTGTGCGGTAGAACATTAGAAACACTTTCTAGGCACAAGGGGTGAAGTTGGGCTAACCGTAGGGTTTAATTATTGCAAAAAAATTTAGAATTAACCCAATTCACCCCCCTCTTGGGCATCTTGATCCTTTCACTAACCTATCCCCACATCCTACTTAATCACAAAAGCCCTTTGTGTAAGCTTTCTAACGTATAGAGTCTGTTGTATAGAAACCTTTGGCTTTTATCTCTAGCAAGAACAAAGGAACCCTAGCAGCAAAAAGGATCCCCCATATCACATCAATGTCGTCATCACTAACAAAAGTACATGGATCCAAAGCCAGTCTACTTGTGCCAGTGCTCAGATTGAAGATAAATACCTACCCTCACTATCCTCTATCTCCGCCAGGAGAAAGGATCTAGATGGCTATACAGGAAAAGGCCTATAAAAATTTGTTTACAAACTCACAAACACCAGAGCAAGTTGGTTATTACAATAACAAGCCCTAAAAACCACTACTTGCACTAGCTATATTTCATCCAAGCAAGCCCCTACACAATTCTAGTAGCAACTTAATTCACACAAACAAATAAGGGCTAGCAACTAAAACTAGCTAACTACTTTAGGGAGCTAAACAACTAGGCGATCAACTACGCACAGTCAATAAACATGAAAGTAATGCACAAGTGAGTAGTAGCAAACCACCAAGGGCAAGAGACAATAGATTTATCCTCGTGGTTCGGTTGTTTGCCAACAACCTACATCCATGTTGTGGCAAGTCTCAAAATAACGATTTGCGCACTAACTAGCCACTCAAGCTAGACTCAACAGCTTGGGTGCCGTAAGAATCAATCAACAAGGAGCACTCCAACTATCCAACTAGCTTAGCCATGGGCATACTATTAGAGTATTTATTTGCAACTCCATGAGGTGGGATCAAACCTCTTACATACCAACAATTAGAGGCGGAGAACAATTATCAACACTCCCCAGAACGACCACCGTTGCTTGAAGATGTCTAGGTGGCAGCAACCACCAAGAGTAATAATAAAAATTCAGCTCAAACGATGCACTAGTGCCACTAGATGCAAATTAACGAAGCAAATGCACTTGATCTCTCCCAATCTCACTTAGGATCAATCACAGGCAAAGAGATGAGTGGGAGATGTTCTTAGAGGTTCACACAAGTGTTTGAATGCTTAGAATGCCAAGATAGCTTACCAAGAGCTAGGCAACACATCCATATAGAAGCCCTCCAGAACTAGTCGTTGAAAACCCTCCTAGTGGGTTGTATATGTAGGCACAGAAAATGACGGATGCCGTTGGACAAGCACCACCAGAACAAGCGATACACGAAAGGATGGCTCAAATTTAATCTGGGATTTTAATCCCTTAACGCTTTCTCTAGTGCTTCATATATAACTGCACCACACCGGATTAATCCGGTGTCAAACTAGCCGTTGTAAAGCACAACGGCTAGTGAAGTGCATGCTCTAATGCGTCAAACAACGGACTACACTAGACTAATCTGGTGTCATCCATAGAGGTGCAGAAAACCTATTTCCCACCATCAAAAAGTTCGATGCTTAGCACTCGGGACTTCCAGCGTGTCCTTTGAAAAACTCCTCTCGTTGAACAATGTGCCCTATTGTTCCGGTGCATACTTCTGGCAACGACCGGATAAATTCAGTGGCAAACTCTAGCCTCAGGTAAACCTCAGGTAAGTGTACCATGCACCCTCTATAACATCCTCGGTGTTACACCCTAAACAAACCACGAAACCATGTCATGAGCATTATGTTTATGTGATAAAGCATGTGATAAAGTATGTAGATCAATTTCTTGTAATCTAAAATGACTAATAAAAATGTTAAATGAAAGTTGATTCAATAGCTCATGTATATCAAGTAGGGTTGGAAACCAATTTTTATTGACCAAAAATATTATAGAACATGTATGTGACCCTAAATAAAGTTTGAAGTATAAACTTTGTAGAGGACAATGCAACTCTTGTCTTAGAAAAATAATATTGCTAGCTAGTATTTCTAATAGCTTAGAAATAGAACTTGAAATCAAATTCAGCTCAAGACTTAGCAAATTCTTAAGTCTGAAAACAGTGTGACAATGCAATATTGGTAAATTAATTCTGGAAAATCTAGCTAAAGGTCAATGATGTGTTTTTGCTCCTTATGGTAGATTGATTTACCCTCTTTAGCATGGTCGAGGTAGTTTAGCTTCAACTGTGTTAGGATAGTTTTAGACGCGCTTTAAAATGCGTGCACGTCATATGCCTGGCCTTTGCGCACGGTCACCTCGCGCGGCCGCTCGGCGTCGTGTGGCTGGCCGCGTCCCGCACGCTACGGTGCTGAGCCCGATCGGCCTGTCTGGTTGTGGGTTGGCCATGGCCGGCCCAGTGGGCCGCTGTCATCGCCCTGCAGCTGCTGGCCATCGCGTTGCTGCCCCACCTCACTGTCGCCACTCCGCCTCGCATTGTGGTGCTGTT